CATACACATATTTATGCAATAAATCAGAAAATAAAGTCATACTTATAATTGACTGTATTAAATCTGAATTGTTTAATTGTTTAAAATACGAATATTTTCTTTGTGCGAGTTCATAAGAGCATTAAGGGACCCATACCCCTTACCCTTTCATGTTAGAATAATAGTGGCCGTGGTTAAAAATATGTAGCGGGAATAAGGTTATTAGTTGAGCTTTGATGAGTGAACTGATATCAATTTCAAATTTCTATCTCCACTGGGTTTAGCGTTATGATATAATTATATATAATATATGATTATAAGCAACATTGCGCCGTGGTGGTACCTTTTTAAAACACTGGTTAATATTGATTTTATATATTATATTATCTCTATTAATTTTCAATACAAATTATATGTATTAATTGCTTCTTAGTCTGTATACTGGAAAGTAAAAGAATCAAGTGGAATTTAAAATTGTGCTATATGGGAAGTAGGTGTGGTTGTTGTCTGATGTTACCCACTTTGGCAACGTGACATAAGAATATGAAAAGAATTTCATCTCAGCTCCCATAAATCTCTCTTATACCATCTTGGAGAAAAAATTAAATGTCTCTGGCATATTTACTTATTGATTTATTGCGTAGTTATTAACCAACTTCATTCATTTTCACACTGTCGGTAAGAGTTSCTATAAGAATTCGGTTTTAGCTTTAAAGGACACRCCCACTTTATCATTTTCCGTTCTTTGTTAAGGCAGTTTATAAGTTTTGCTTTAACTGCGTTTTGTGGGCGTGGCAGTGGTGCGTTTACGCCCATTTGCAAACTCCAACTTGGTCGTCTCCTCATCCTGATATTTATATGTATCTGTGCCCTAAAAAAAAATWAGGTGACATTTGAATTTAAACTGCGCGCGTCGAAGGATTTGAAGAATTACTTTTTTTTTAGGTTGGTAGTACTGTCAGTCACATTTATGTCAAATTTCAAAATATTCATTAGTGTTTGAGATACGTGCCGTTTTGTGAGCTGCTCGAAATTTGTTGAGCAAAGATGTGTATAAGAGACAGGTTTGGTTGACATAGCTATAGTAGTTTTCGAGATATGTACAAAAAAGTTAGTAGGGGCCGGGGCCACGCCCACTTTTCCAAAAAAATTACGTCCAAATATGCCCCTCCCTAGTGCGATCCTTTGTGCCAAATTTCATTTGAATATCTTTATTTACGGCTTAGTTATGACATTTTATAGGTTTTCGGTTTCCGCCATTTTGTGGGYGTGGCAGTGGGCCGATTTTGCCCATCTTCGAACGTAACCTTCTCATGGAGCCAAGAAATACGTGTACCAAGTTTCATCATGATATCTCAATTTTTACTCAAGTTACAGCTTGCACGGACGGACGGAAAAAAGGAAGGGCTAAGTTCGGGAGCAACCGAATATTTTGTACTCTTGCAACTTATAAGAATCAAAGCAAGAGAAATACCTTGAGGTGCAACCAGAGGATCGGAATCCAAACAAATCATATATACATACATCTACTGAGATCAAGTAGAAAGGTGAATTTTTAATTTATTTATAGGAGTTTTTTTCGAATCGGTAAATTTTTTTCTTCTGTAATTTGGTAGTACTGTTAGTGACATCTATGCTAAATTGCACGTCAAAATATTCGTTAGTAATTGAGATAAGCGTCGTTGTAGCTCTAAAAGTGAATTCTTTGATGTTTACTATGTCTGAATTTATTGAACAAAGAAGTGCGATATTGCACCATCTCATGCATTGTTTATTCGTGATCATTTCGCCACATAACTAATATCGTGCTGCAACTTCGTGTAACTTCTGGCTATTCAGCAAATTCACATGACCACTCCGAGGACACCGTTTTGACTCATTTTAGGATATAGAAGCTGAAACGAAGAAGCCTCTGATGGCCATTACGACGGAAGATTTTTCCAAGTGCTATGTATGATGGCTGGAAAATTCGTTGGCATAAGGCCATTACTTTGAAGGAGATGAAATSRATAAAGTTCACCTTTCAATTTAATAGCAGTAGTATATATACTATAGTATAACTCATTCCCTGACCATCATATTCGGCATAAAACTTGGTGGAATAATGGAAATCATTATAAGTAGTAAATGGGATTTGGGAGTAGTATTGAACCGGTTTTAACTATTTTTTCTGATACTACATATTCTTAACATGCCACATACCAAACATAATATGTTTCCAAGGCTTCGTTGCGGTACTTCACATACAATCGCCAATTATATGAAGTGTTAGCCGAATGTTCGAAAATCCTGGTATTAGTTATATCAGGGAAAGKTCATGCCTTTGCCCAATTTTATCCATTTAGGCACAAGCAAACGCTGTTCGGTAGTTTTCATTGAGATAACTCGCACTTTGACCGTTACATTCGCTGAGCTTCGAAAACCTTTATGTTAGGTATATGGCGGCTAAGGGAAATATTGGCCCAATTCAACCCACTTTTGAGACACAGGCATACTAGTATCAGGAAAGGATTCTCTCTCTGCATTCCAATTACAAAATTTATCTCACACAGTGACCCGATATTTTCGGTCGAAAGTCTACTATAAGAACTGGGGTCAACATAATCAGTATCAAGTGGATTGAACAGTTTTGGCCAGATGTGGACAGCGGATACACTGGCTAGGTCATGTCGTCCGAATGGACGAAAACGCTCCAGCCCTGAAAGTATAGTATTTGACGCAGTACCTACCGGGAGAATCAGAGGGAGACCTTCAGCCCGTTAGAGAGATCAGGTGGAGAAGAGTCTGGCTGCATTTGGTATCTCGAACTGGCGCCAAATTGCGAAAATAAAGAAGGAGAAGAGAGCAGATTTCTAGTGTCATATTTCCTTTTTTCGGTTATTCAGATGAATTTGCTGTCAGCGGAGAATGTAGTGATTTAAATTTTCCGAATTGAACGATCGTAACAGATGAGGAGACTAGCAATTGTTGGGATATTAAACGAATGGCTGTGTGGAACCACATATGTATATGATTCATGCTAAATTGCATTTTCGAATACGCATACACATATTTATGCAATAAAGCAGAAAATAAAGTCATACCTATAATTGACTGTATTAAATCTGAATTGTTTAATTGTTTAAAATTCGAATATTTTCTTTGTGCGAGTTCATAAGAGCATTAAGGGACCCATACCCCTTACCCTTTCATGTTAGAATAATAGTGGCCGTGGTAAAAATATGTAGAGGGAACAAGGTTATTAGTTGAGCTTTGATGAATGAACTGATATCAATTTCATATTTCTATCTCCGCTGGGTTTAGCGTTATGATATAATTATATACAATATACATATGATTATAAGCAACATTGCGCCGTGGTGGTACCTTTTTAAAACACTGGTTAATATTGATTTTATATATTATATTATCTCTATTAATTTTCAATATATTTCGTGAGTGGTATGAAACAAAACAGTTTTTTGGTAATCCAACATAAGTGTCCCTTATTTTTTGAGCATTCATTAAAGCTGATGCTGGAGACGCTGACTGAATTGTTGAATGCAATGAGTTGTCTTCTATATAGCAACCAACTATTCATTGCTGCTTTGTTGAGGCATCAGTATACGATTCATTTAGACTTTTGCGCTCTTTATATTTAATTATTTGCTCATCAATAAACACTTCATTTTCAACTTCCTCATTTTCGTCTCATTACGTCCAATTAATTTATCAATTAAATTTATTTCCACATTTTCTCCCTTCTTCTTTAAGAAATCAATTGATTCCTCAACGACTGTCTCCAAATTAGCTTCCTCTTCTCTCCTCAGCATCTGCAAAATCATGCCAATCGAATTCAAATATACGCTGTATTCTTTCTTCTCGCTTCTTCTTTTTCAATTATCCTCAAAATATATGTATAAAATTCAAATATTCAAATTCAAATTCTTTATTAAGTAGAAAAATATCACATTATAATGTATAAAATTCAAATAACGAAATTTTTACAGGGGAACGCCATAGAGCCATGACTAAAGACTTTGTCGTGCCTGAATTGGAGGATATCTATTTGGACCACTTTTGGTTGTAACACGATGGCGCTACACGTCATACAGCGAGCGAAACAACCAATTTTTAGAAGCACGCATTACCTCGTAACGTGGACCTGTGGCATGGTGTTCCAGATCGTGCGATTGAACACTAGTGGACTTTTGAGGGCCGTGCCCGAAATCATTTCTAAAAGATAATAACGACTTATATCTTTAAAATAAATATAAGTTCTTAGCCATAATATTAAATTATATATGCTTTTTTTCGTCTTGAAAAGCACATGCCCAAAATATATAGCTACAAGTTACTTTCCAAAGTAAACGCCATTTACATATCGACTCGTGCGTTAAAATCTGCTACCTTTAACGATTGTCCAGTGAGAATTTCATTCGTCAAATCGTCATTTCATCGATTGGAAGTGAAGTTATTGCGTTTTAGGTGTCGGTATATTTGTGTTATCGGTGCGAAAATGATCTTCGAACAAAGAGCCAACACCTTGTACAATACATTGTATTATAATCTTATGTACATATATATAAAAATGAATCGCAAAATGTGTTGGTAAGCGCATAACTCAAAAACGCCTGGACCAATTTTGCTAATTCTTTTTTTAAAATGTTCGTTGAGGCTCAAGGATGGTTTCTACGGCAAGAAAAAGTTGCCGGAAAACCCCTAAAATCAGCCTTTTTCTTTTTCCCATATAAACGTTATCTAACTAAAACGTAGAATCCATTTGATCTTTTTGCTATTATATAAAGTTCATATTAAATTAAGAGTACTCACTGTTGTGCAAACAATGTGGGTATTTCCCAATGTCCACTTTGCAGGGAATCCAATGAAGATGGTTTGTAAAAAAAAAAAAAAAAAACTGAGAATGTAAATTTTTAACTGACTTTTCCATACAATTTTTTTTTTTTTCAATTTTGTTGTTTTGTTTTCCAATTGATTTTATTGTAAATTCTTTGAAAATTATTAAGTGTCATAAATAAAGTCTCATAATAGTGTGAAAATAACACAAGAAAAAAGATTTATAATGTGTACAATTCCAACGAAGAAAACAATTGGTTATTTTAAACTATTCGCTTTGTTCTCAAATTAAAAAAAATCTAAAAACCTTTTACTTTACAAGTAAGTACGATTTACGCCTTTAAAGCGATCGGCTAATAAACTCGCGATATTATTTCTTTTGACTTACTTTAAAATGAATCAGTTTTCACGTCATTACATCAGACAAACACAAACAGCGTTACAAAAAGTGTTTTATTATATCCCTATTTTAAATCCAAAAAGCGTTAGTACGGCTTGAAGGTATTGACTCCAAGTCATATCAAATTAAAAAAAGTTGAATCAACAACAAACTATCAATGTCAGCGTTTTTTTTTTTTTGGATTTTCGGTCACCTACTCTAATGTGTTTGTTTTTGTCGTACCTATATCTTGTTTTGTACAGTGTTGAGTTACCTATGATAATTAATTATTGCATTTTAGATATGCCTCCTATTACACGAAGCAATTTAGGTAGAAGAACCCGAATTGCTGCAAACCAAGCTAATTACAAATCTTATAATGCGGCACAAGAACGTGACGTAAAAAATCTTTGTAGGCTTTAGACAGAACCTTAAAGGATCTACGAAGCAATCACAACCATTTTGGCAGTGATTTCACGATCAACACCAGCTGATGAACTCAATGCATGTCTAAAGTCCTCCAATTCGAGGAAACATGCCAAAGTACTTAATTTAAGCAAGAATATGCGCGTCGAGTTGTTAAATCACCAGTCTAGAAACATATTCTCTAAACAACTCATTGACATTGGTAATGGAAAATTTTCTATAGACATGTTAACTGGCTGCATTAACTTTCCTCAAAGCTTTTGTCAGTTAACTCGATCAAAAGATGAACTTATTCAAAAGGTGTTTCCAGATGTTTCTCTAAATTACAGAAATCATGATTGGTTGAGCGAACGAGCTATATTAGCTGCAATCAACATAGATGTAAATGAATTAAATTTAAAAATTCAAGAACAAATTACAGGTGAATYGAGGATATATAAATCAATTGATTCGGCTACTAACCAAAATGATGTAGTGAACTATCCACCAGAATTTTTAAACTCGTTGGATTTGCCACCTCACAATCTTCAATTAAAGGTTGGATCGGTAGTTTTAATGTTGCGAAATATCCAACCAACCAATTCTTTGCAACGGCACACGGTTAGCGATAAAAAAAAATTACTAAACAACGTGATAGAAGCAACTATCCTAAAAGCAAAGTATTAAGGAGAAGACGTTTTCATACCGCGCATCCCAATGATTCCGACTGATGTGCCATTTGACTTTAAACGGCTGCAGTTTCCAGTTCGGCTTGCTTTTGCAATGACCATAAACAAGTCCCAGGGACAATCGTTAAGTGTTTGTGGTATTAATCTGGAAAACCCATGTTTCTCACATGGTCAATTGTATGTTGCCTGTTTCCGTGTTGGAAAACCATCAGATTTGTTTGTCCATGCGCCAGGTAATTAAACAAAGAACATCGTATATCACAAAGCACTACAATGAAAATAAAACTGATTTTTGTGAATAATTATGATTCACATGATTAACAATAAAATTATTATTTATTTTTAAATGCTTATATATGTTTTATTTAATTATATTTCTTATTCACAACGCCCTATCACCACGGTGATGTATCTGTTCAAGAGAATTTTTTGCCCCGACTATAAAATATGTAGGAACAAAAAAATGTCACATTACAAATCTTTTTGACAAGATTTTACTACTATTTAATTACGCAGTACGAAGTCTGGCATGCACAAGTCTGACGTGGCGTGTTCACGAATTGGAAAACCATTTTCTCTGTACATTTACGCACCGGATCAAGCTGCGTTACATTGAAAAAAATTTAGAGAGGTCGAAAATAAATGATTTTTAAAACCTTTTCCTGACGCCTGCGGAGTCAGCTAGTAATATTATAATAATTTGTGTAAATATTTTTTTGTACTTCGAACACTCGCAATCCGTTTCCGACTTTCAAAGTTGGCGGAAATCTAAAACTGATGAAAATATCACTCGAATCAATCATTTCATCTGTRTTTTAAYARTTGATTAACAAAATGTATRCGCTGCTCTTTGTRCTTKYTGCAAATWATTTCAACTTTTCCGTTACGAAAGCCGGTGGTCCCGAAGTCAACCCATCGATCAATTGGGTTGTATCGAATAGCCAACAATATGAGGCCTTTTATGGCATACCGTTTGCTAAACCACCGATCGGTGAATTGCGATTTAAGGTAAGAAAATATGGGAGAATATGGAGAATATAAAGTTTAATAGCAAATATCCTATTTTATTTATATAATAGCACCCTATACCAGTTGAACCATGGAAGGACAAACTTATGGTCAAAGAACCGAGAACTGAATGCATTCAATATAACCCAATTCCACACATACCTATGATTAGTGGTGAAGAGGACTGCCTTTACTTGAATTTGTATCGCCCTAAAGTATAAAGACGTTGAGAAATATTTGCTACATTTATTTTACCTCACTGTATTTTTGTCAATTTTAGAAAGCGTCTACTGAGAAGCTACCCATTTTGTTCTACATACACGGTGGAGGCTTTTTTTCGGGCACTCCAAGTCCCGCAGTGAATGGTCCTGAATATTTTATGGAAACTAATGAGGTTATATTGGTATTAGCCGCATATCGCTTAGGTCAATTTGGTGGGTATTTACTAAAATTTTCAAGCTTCCTTAAAAGGAATCTATGTGATAAATAATGAAAATTGTGAAATTATTGATGTCTGTAGGTTTTCTTAGTACCGGTGATGAGCATATGACTGGTAATTTTGGACTTAAGGACCAGAACATGGCGCTTAAATGGGTACAAAAATATATTGCTGTCTTCAACGGTGATCCTTCGCGTGTTACTATTTTTGGCCATAGTGCTGGCAGTTTTTCTTCGCATTTCCACATGTTAAGCCCGGCTTCAAAAGGTACTTATGTWTAAGGGTCRCGTACWCAAACCACTGTGCTCGACAAATTTAATGTAAAATTCTGCACTGCCTAAAGCTTTTTTTTTTAAATGTGTTAAATAACTCTTTACTAATCAAAAACACAACCCTCTCTAGGTTTGTTTCGCAATGCTGTATTAATGAGCGGCCATGCAAATTGCCCGCTCTTAAGACAAATCAATCAAAAGTCTCAGGTCATTCAATTAGCTAAGTCTGTTGGAATTAAAAATGCTAACGAAATGTCCTCAAGTGAACTAGCTGACGCTCTACGTAATGTGCCAGCAACGGACCTGTTAAAGGCAGGTGTTGATCTCAAAGTATGGAGTGTGTACCCTTTTGGTACTTTTCGTCCCACCATTGAACAAGAATCATGGCCGGAACCTTTCCTAACCGAAGATATATTCAAATTAATCGGAAGTCCAAAAATGCCTAAAACTGTGCCATGGATTGGTGGTTATACCTCGTCAATTGGTGAAGGCACGGTCATTGCGCTAAGATTATCTACGGATCCGGAATTACAAGCTCACTTCAATAAGAACTTTAATGATTTGTTTAAATTAGTGATGGAACTGAATGACACAGCATATCCGCAAAGAG